GAGGTAGCTACTTTTATTTTTTATAAGAAGATTTTAAAAGTTTATACTACTAGTAGCTAGCTAAAAAAGACTTTTAAAAAGAATATACTATAGAAAAGTATTCTAATTACTTTTTTAATATACTTCTTTTACCTACTTACTTTAATACCTCTACTACTAATCTAAAAGCCTTCTAAAAAGCTTAAACTTTTAAAGCTACTTTTTTTAAGAAGTAGTAAGTGTAAAAAAGTAGAAGTTATACTAGTAGTATCTTTACTAAAGTATAAATTAAGTAATTATAAAGTTTAAAAAAGAGTAGTAAGCTAAGCCTTTTTATTATATTAAAGGCTATATTTCTTACTTATTTAGCTAAACTATAATACCTATAAAAAGATACTTTTAAAGTAAAGTATTACTAAAGTATATAGTTAGTATAAAAAAAAGAAATTAACTAGTAAGTATACTAAAATACTTTTTAAATACTCTTCTAACGCTTTCTAGTATATTTACTTTAAGAAAACTATAAAAATATATATTATTTTAAATTTTAAAGCTTAGAGAGATTTTTTATAAAAAGTAGATATTTCTATTTTATAAAATACTATTAGACTTACTAGAAACTATATATTTAAGGTAACTTCTAGTAGCTAATATTCTTATAGTAATAGCTACTATTAATTTTATTACTAAACTTATTTCTTTTATACTTAAAGTAGTAGACTAAAAAGTATTAGTAAAGTATTTAAAGCGTATTTTAGTATTCTTACTCTTACTATTAGTTTTATACTTTTCTATATAAATAGAGTAAAGTATAATATAACTAGTAGTAAGTATAATACTTATTATTTACTTAAAGTTAAACTATAAAGTATAGTTAGAAAGCTTTTAAATAGTATTTAAATAGTATTTTAATCTACTTACTTTTCTTTTATAACTACTAGTTAATCTTAAAATTAGCTTTAACTTCTTAACTATTATAAAAGCTTATTAGTAAGCTAGAGTAGTAGCTTTAGTAGTAGCCTAACGCTTAGTAAGAATATAGTTATACTTAACCTAGAGCCTATTATACTATTTTATATATTATTAGAAAGCTTTCTAAGAGTATTATAATAGTATTTTAATACTTACGCTTAGTAAAAGTAATAACTCTCTAGTTTAGCCTACTCTTTTTATTTTCTAAAGGTACTACTTTATAAAACTTATAGATATTAAGAAAGTAGATATAGATAGAATTATAAGACTTTATTCTTTTTTATATATTATTAGAAAGCGTTTAGAAAGTAATATAAAAGTATTTTAATATAATTTACTTTATATAGCGCGCTAAACTTTTTATAGTAGTAGATAACTTTACTAAAGTTAACTATAAGCTAGTTCTAGTTATTAAATTTATAGCTAAGGTAACTTAGAAGTAAAGTAGTAAAAACTAAGTATTACTTATAATTATTTTATATATTATTAAAAAGCTTTTAAAATATATTAAGATAGCTTTTTAATAGTTTTACTTATAAAGCTACGTAGTACTATAGTAGTTAGTAAGTAGTAAGTAAGTAAGTAGGTAAAAGGTAAGAAAGTTTAGTTTTAAATTATAATCTAAATATAATTTTATATATACGCGCTAGTATAAAGTAGCCTAGTATCTTAGCTATAGTCTACCTTAGCAAATCCTATAGTTAGGTGACCTGCATCCTTGATAATCACCTACGCCGGTGGCGGACAAGCGCTATTCCGGATATGATCTAGCTGATCAGAAATTCAGGGTTTTCAAGCTTCACCCCACATCATCGACGAACCAAGCTCGGCTTGGCTATAGCTTGCATGTCTTACTCGCGCCTCTTTCCACTCTTTCCAATCATCGGCACTTCTTTTCATGCGGAGTATCCATTGCGACCGCGATCCTTCCGACATTCCGCGCCGTTAGAGGCCTAGGCTCATGGTGCACCTTCACCCCATGCACTGCTAGGAGGTTATCTCCGACCATGACGAATCGCCAGGGTACGCTAAGCGACTACTTACCCGGCTGAAAAAGCTTTAAGTCGCGCAATGTTGGACTCTGAATCTTTTGCGTTCCTTTAGACTTCATTTCACATCTATGGCTTCAAACGAGCCAGGCCTTGCGCCTCTCAGTGCGCCGGCTGAGGACCCTATCAAAGGAGCCGTCGGCGTACCCGTCGATACAGACACCCCCGTTGCACCGGACCAGTTTGATGAACGTTACGAGACATCGAAGTGGGAGATCTGGTCGTATTACTGGTATGCAAACTCTTCCAGCGCAAGGACTTATTCGGAGCGCAATACGTCGAATGTGCTAAGGCTGACATCCCATTTTCGAATAGCTACTACGTCGGAGACAATGGCCTCACTCTTTTCAACTTCGGTCCGACGGCTTTCCAAAACCTCATGTATGAAGCTGCAGGAGACTCCGAGGTGCTGTACTTCATGGGCCGAGACCGTACCATCAACTCCATTGTGCTTCTCTGCAACGGCATCAGTTTCGCCATCCAGGTCCTCGTTTTCTTGATCCTCGGTTCTTTCGCCGATTTTGGTACATGGCGCCCCAACATCCTGATAGGGCTGTCCGTCATTGCTTTCGGAATCGGCTTTGGCTGGTTAGGCGTTCATACCGAGGATAAATGGCACGCCGGCGTGGGCCTCTATATCGTCGGTCTTATCGCATACCAAACGACAATCACATTCTGGACTGCTGCCTTCCCTGGACTGGCAAGGAACACCAAGGAATTGCGAGTCAAAGCCGAGGAGTTCGCCGATGGAACGATTACCCGCGCAGAGTACGATTTTGCCGATATGATGAAGCGAAACGAGCTCTCCAACACGGCGTTCTATGTTCAATCCGTGTTTGAGATCCTCATCCTGGCTGTTATCGTGGGCATCATGTTCGGTCTGCACGTCAATGACAGCGCGGAGAACAACAATTGGGGTCTTTCTGTACTAATCGCCTTTGCTACCGGAGTTTGGATCTTGTGCGCTCTTCCGTGGTTCATTCTCGAGAAAAGACGACCAGGTCAGGATCCAGGACGCGCGAACATAGTCCTAGCAGGTCTCAAACAGCTCGGATACGCGATGCGACAGATTTGGCAGTTGCGCCAAAGTCTGGCCTATCTGGCAGGCTACTTCCTCCTCGGTGACAGTCTCAACACAACCGTGACGGTCATTGGAACTCTGCAGAACGAGATTGTTGCATACAACAGTTTGCAGCTTACCTACCTGCTCATCGTCGGTATTGCTGCCCAGGCGGTTGGCATCGGCGCCTTTTGGCGCATCCAGAAGTACTATGGTCTATCCACCAAGACCATGTTCATGGTTGTCGCTATATGCATCGTTCTGCTCGACGGCTGGGGCATGATCGGCATCTGGACGCAGCGCTTCGGTTTCCACAACAAGTGGGAGGTTTGGGTATACCAGGCCTTCTATGGACTGCTTGTCTGCCCGTGGTACAGCTATTCGCAGACCATGATCTCCGAGGTTACACCAAGAGGGAAAGAGTTTCTTTTCTTCAGTTTGTTCTCGATCGTGGGAAAGACGAGTGCTTTCATCGGCCCACTGGTCAGCTCTGCCATTATCGATGATACTGGCAACAACAGTAGTCCTTTCTATTTCTTGTTCGCGTTGAGCCTGGTTAGCTGCGCCTGGCTTTTCTTCTTTGTAGACGTTGAGAAGAGTAGGATTGAGCAGGAGACTTTCTTGGAGAGGGAGAAGAACACCAAGATGCACAATGAGGATGCTGAGAGTCTTACTTGATCATCTAGTAACAATTGAACTGCCTCATTCGCGAAGAGAGTAGCTAGTTCGATCGCTTTGTGTAAGCCGTTCGACAGACCCTGATAATGACGATACCTGGCCGCGCAATGTTTCTGTACATGCAAATTCGGCTAAACAAGTCATTCGAAAGTAAGAGAACAGAAACACACTGCTTTATCATTGCGCATCGCCGTGTGCTCACATCATTGTTCACGCGGCGCTTCGACTCAGGTGCACAATGCTCGTGTCTCAAGCTCACAACTGTCTGAAACCCGGCCATATTTCTTAGAGTTCTAGCTATTCCCATCCTATCACGTTGGTTCACCCAATAAATCGACGATTCATTCTTGCCAGCCATCGACATCATCAAGACCAAGCACACCGCACAACATCTGAACAACTACATACAAACAGCCATGACATTAGCCTCGTGGCTAACAAGCTCCCCCGAGCAACCCATTGATACCACCGACCCCAACAGCTTCGCCTCTCTCGTCAACAAGATGAACCTCGCTGCCCTAAAAGCTGACGCCGAAAACAGCTACAAAGAGAAGTACCTCCGACTCCGTAGGCAAATCGAGTCAGACACCGTCCACAACGACCTTCGCGCTAAGATCACATCTCTCTTAGCCAACAAGACCGATTACGAGGCTAAGCTCCGAGCGACTGAAAAGGCGAAAACGAGCGCAGACATGCAGGTTGTTGCCCTTGACCTTGTGATTAAGGATACGAACGTGTACTACAAGTCCAAGCTAGAGACTGCAGAAACGCAGATTAGGGCGCTCAAAGAAGAGAATAAGAGGCTGAGGAAAGATGGGCAGGATATGAAATCTTTGCTTCTCTTGCATGAGATTTGTGTACCACCGCAGGATTTTACGGATGTAGACACGCAGACACTGGAATCAGTGTTTGAGATAGAGCTGTTGGAGGGTAGCGGTATTGACGACGATTGGCGGACTGAATCTGATGATTTGGGTACATACTCGACGGATGTCTGCCCTCAGTGGTATAACTATGGGAGGTGTAGTCGGGACGGCAGTGATGCTGCTGAGAAGTGTGAGCTTGGTGTGCATCCACGTCTTCTTGACTTTGGTACGATTCTCAAGGAGTAGAAGTGCATGTAGTAGTATTTTGGGTAGTGGAGATGGGCGATGGTATGTAGAGTGTGGTTGGATGTGGCGAACACGACTTGTTTTCTAGAATGCGCACGCCTCTATGTTATGATGAATATCTCCTACATCATCATACAAACATCAATCCTCCTACTCCCCCAACACCTCCCTAACCCTCTCCTCACTCGGAAACCTTACCTCCTTCTCCGCAACCACATCAATCAGCTCTTTCACCCATCTCCGTTCCTCCCCCGTTATATTCTCCAACCGCCGATCGACATCCTTGCCAAACCTTCCCCAGAACTTCTCGAAACTCGCCGACTCATCCTGCAGATACTGGCCCTTGTTAATAACAAGAAAGTTTCTAAAAGCATCCCACCAGGTCATCGATTCCCTTGACACAATCACATCTTCCAGTACGTTCGTGTCTTGTGATGACGCTCGACCTGCATTGTCGAGCATGTATATGAGTTCGTAAGTATATGAGCGGTCGGCGCCTTTTGTCATGTTGTCAGGGTCCAGGGTGGCGCGGTCGAAGTCGATCAAGACAACGGTTGGTAATGTGAAGTTGGCGTCTTTGTTGGAGGCTGATACATCGAGCATGACGTTTCCGCCGAAGACGTCGTTGTGGGAGATACTGGCGACGTCGTGGAGCCACCCGATTGCTTGCGTTAGCTGTTTTGCGACATGTAGTATGAGTACCTCCGGTATCGCGGGGAGGGGAAAACGGCGCGAAGGATCGTTTTCTGACGAGGGCTGGGTTATCGCGGTGACCACGACACGAAGCCGCTCAAGATCGAAACCACAGACAGGACTGACGACCAGCCAGCCCGATCCGCCGTTCTTGATCGAATCGTTATCGATGAGCATGGGAAGGTGCTTCCGAACAGTTGCGTTCTTGTCGACGGCGAGAAAGTTGCGGATGCGTTCGAGAGCGACGATTTCATCGGCTATCCTGTCGCGACACATCTCTCGACTGATCATCTTGACGGCGACAAGGGCTGCACCCTGCGCCACGAAGATGGTCGTGGATGAGCTTGCAGCCGACGGTGTGCGTGCACAAACCGTGATACTTCCGCACGTACCTTTGCCTGCTTCGCGGATCGGGGTGTACAACTCGTTAGTCTCTTCATAGATCGATTTGGGGTTCATGTCGTCGTTAGATGTTGCTGTAGGGATGTACGCTACTTACTGTATGCGTTGATCGAAGGGTCGCTCGAGAGTAAAATCGCCATAAAGTCTACGTAACAAATAAATTGAGTGTTAACGCCAAAGAGCAGGGTCTATTGATAGTGAAAGGCGCGGGTGCGATGCTGCGGTAGGCAACAAGCAACGCTGGAGAACCCTTCACTACATCTAGCTCTGTTCAGCGATATTGTCTTGTAGGGTCTGAGACTTCTTACCGTGTCCATGTGTCGTTGTCGGAATCTAGCAGATATTCGTGGTCACCTCGAAACTCCGAATAGCAGGTAATGGAGCGGAGGAAGCTGCGCCAACAAAGGAGTGAATCAGGAGTAAGAAACGTAGTGAAGTCTGTATTGAAAGCATCAAATAGGTGCCCAAGGTGTCCTATGGGTCGTATCGTACATAGTCGCATCTTCCACGACTGCCTCGTACTAATATACATTGTTGGCTTGCTTTTAGCAGGCAAAGTGGGCTTCCGACAGAGGTCCTTTCCAAACAATTAAGTCAGACCGCCGCTGTCAACACCTCTTGGCATTGGTGGACGGGAAATGTGCCATGGTTCCTATCTGGCGGCATCGGTGCCTACTGGGGCTGAGTGCAGTCTCGCCGGGAGCCTCCGGGATGTGTAGAATGCGCGGAAGCGCTGCCTTTGCTTCGTCGCGATGAACATAGAATTCTTGTCATGTTGACATTTCGCCATCAAGGGTTCAAGGGATCGAATTCCGTAGTGTCCTTGCCCCAAATCTCGATGTGATTCACATCTTCCCTTCTCACAACTGTTACTTTTCTTATTGGTCCTGCTCTTTTCGCGTTCATACTGTTGTCCTGGGTGTTCGGTGTCGACTCCTTCTTTGATGGGTAGTAAACGTCGCCTAGCTTGAGCACGATGCTGTCGCCGTAGCCAACGTACTTGATGTTCTTATACTCCGGTCGCCAAAACTCTGTTCCAATCGCGAAGGCATGCATCTCCGCATCCGTGATTTGATACGGCGCCTCGCTTGTGTCAGAGCTTGGGCGGAATAGAAAACGGACGGCCCAGAGCTTGGGCACTAGAGCAAAGACCTGGCGCAGAGACTCAAGCGGTGGCACTGAGCAAGCGAAGCCAACTTGCTCCAAATTAGAGCACGTTTGGCAAAGTCTGAACAGGGCATCGTCGGATAATACCCAGCGATCCGAGAGAAGGAGATGGCGAATGCTGTGGTTGTGATTGGTTTGAATGGCCGCAATAAATTCACTCCCGATGCTGCGACAGCGTTGGTCGGTCGTGTGTTTTGGAGTACTGCTCGCGCTAGAGACTCCGATGACACCTGGCGTCATCGTGGACGGTGTTGTTGGGGTTGCAGCAGCGCTGGTAGATCTTGGTGAGTCCTTGCCTCGCCTATTGCTCACAATGTAAAACCGCTCCATGCCCTTGAATTTGCCTAGCATGACAGCGCTCTCTTTATCCGTATTATCGGTGCGCATCACCTTCAGGTTGTGAGGCGTCGGGTGATTACTGTGTATCCTCCAAGAGTCGTCGGCAAAAACGGTCATAGGGTCCGAGGAGCCCATGGCGTTGATCAGGGTGAGCTCTGTATTGGTGTCGGGGCGGATAACATGGTGGAAGCCATCGTCGGAGAAGCGAGTGTAGATGTTGTATATTCCCAGGTGCTTAAGAGGTATAGAATACTTGGCAGACATGCATCGTCCGAATAACGAGTGCAGCGAAATCGACTCTTCGCCTACAGCCCGCATGCGCGGACTCCAGTGTAATGTGAGGTGCTCGAGCTTTTTGGAACCCAACAGAAGCAGCGAGATATCGTCGGGGTAGCAGAGAGGATCGATATCGTACACGATCAGAGTGGTCAGGTTCGGAAGCGGAGGTATAATGGTGGTTGGCCGTGGTATTCGTTTGGTTTGACACCGAAGGGTGAGCGAGACAAGCGTCGTCCTGGCTGCGATGCCCTGGTAGACGGTATACAAAGGAGGAGTGCTCAGCTCCCAACTGGGCATATCAGCATTTGTCCGATATGATTCTGGTACGACACCTACGCGAAAGCCTTGAGGTTCTTCATCTTGTCAATGGCGGCACGCATGACAACCTGCAGTATCATGCTGTTGTCCGGCACTCGGCCCTGCTTGTATTCCTCCGTATCATGTTCTCGCCAATCGCCTTTGACCCGGAACGTCTGTATGTAGTCGCCAAAGTTTCGCGACACGAGCGTGTTGAGGCCCATGGCAAACGGGCTGCCATTGCCGTAGCCTTCTGGCCTGCCATCTACGTATCGTATCTCGGCATACGAGTGTAACGTGACCGTCTCGTAGAGCCGCGGAAGCGTCATGTAGTAGAACAGACGCGACGTGCGCGTGATGCGCGCGAGGTCACCGACATCGTCGAGCTTCCGTGCGTGTTAGTATAGCTCGGTTGGGGCAGCTCGTCGCGTGGCAGGGCGCAGACCAACGTACGTGTGTGAGGATGAGCTGAATCAGGTGCAAGGGCAGCTCTTTCGCCTGCGCTAAGTTGCTGTGCGTCCGCGCGGGCGAAGTGAACCAGGTGTGCAGCGGCGCGGCCATGGCTCTATTGCTACCCTCTTGCAGCAACAAGGCATCGCCCGAGAGACGCGTGCGCTTTGGGTCCGACATGAGGCTAGATCAAGGGGACACATGCGTGATACAAACAAAAAAGGGTCCGTACTATCATGGCGAAACTCACAGCTTCATGGCGCATGCATATACGGTCATCATGGCTCATACGTCGTGCTGGCGAGGCGCGTCGGAACTTTTGCTCAGACGCCCGAATGTCCGCTTCGTCCACCAAGCGCGCCCGCATTGGTCCGGCTGCTCCGGGAAGACTCGGTTCACTCCTGGGCTGATGATCGACACCAGGCATTGTGTCCTTTCACGTGCACTGCAATACGGCATATACGGTCTGCATGAGGACCCTGCAAAGCCCTGCGTCGCTTTTTATATGGGTAGAACTCATTTCTATTTGACTGAAGTATGCGTGGACCCCCTGTTTGCGTGCAGCCAGAAAGGCTCATGGTGGGCGGAAATGTCTCCGATCACCACATGTGCACCAGACAACTGAAATATCCAGCGGTTCCGCCCGGAGAACTAAGATTTCGGAGTCGCCGTTTGCACCGATGCAACTAAACTACGCTCATGACCTGAAGAACCAGGGCTGTCTGCCCTTGAATTCGTCCGCAGGAACTCGAAAAGGGACCTCAATCGTTCCGTCAAACACGCTCATCGACGGTACGTCATCCTGCTTGAGACCCTGAAGCTTTGCCTCTGGCACAGGCATGACAACACCACACTCCCAGTTCCTGTGATGTTTTATACTAAGTTAGCATTTGTCTCACATGCAAACCAAATGTGTGTTTGCGTACCTGATGTTCAGACTCCCCATTTGTCCGCTCTTCAATACCTTTTGCCCTCCCCACGCTGATTCGGATATGTTGGCAGAGCCAACATAAACCCAAGCAAAGGGCTTCCCGTTCTTTCTACGACCTCGCGCGAAGAGCAGTTTGTTATGCGACAGCATCCCCCGTCGCATCGAGTCGTAGTCTCGCATGCATTCTCTTGGAAACGATGGTGCGTTGTAAGCCTGTCTTGTCAACGTAATGATACCGGCACCGTCAGGACCGCCCATGCTTTTCTCAACCGTTTCGTTGGTAGGGAAATATATCCGAAAGCAATCGCGTACGTTAGACTCTGGCGCAGTGTTTGTCCCGAACGACTTGCCGCATGCAGCGAGGCGAACGCGCGACAAGAAGGCATCGTTGATAGAACCGAGCGAGGATGCTGCGTAATCAAGCTCAATATGCTCGACTTCACCTAGATTGAGCTCTCTTACAGCGTGTGCGAGGCTAGGGAGACCTGTGGGATGGGTTGATTCGGTCTTGTGCGAACCGCCACTATTTTGAGTTAGTACTGGCCCCTAATGAGCATAGTTGAGGACATACATGGAGTGCACAAAGGCCAAATGATGAGTCTTCGAGAAGTCGCATTTCAACAGACCGGTGATGACCTGCGGACCCACTTCCTGCTGCTCCAAGAAGTATACCAACTCGCGACCAAAAGGTGTCAAGTCTTTCGCCTCCGTGACAGTACCGTCATGTCTGCGAGGGAGGTCTATCAAGAACACCGAGTTCTCCATGATGCCGGGCTGCCAGTCGTTTGCGACCTCGCCCCAGTCGGTCTGTGTCATGTTTGCAGTCGGAATCGCAATGCGTAGCTTGTCTTTTCCGAACAAGAGCATGAATTTGCTGTGCATGCTGGCTATCATGCCACCCATAGGCGGGAAATGGAGCTTCATGTTCGGTACGCGAGACTCCCTCCACTCTTGTATGCGCTTTGCCTGAACGTCCTCGCCTCTGTGCTTGCCAGTCATCAGCCAGATCTGCTTGACCTTTGTCGGATCAAGTTTTTCGTATAGCCATCCCGAATCGTACTGAAATGAGCTGATGACTGCGGTATTGACTTTATCGGCTTCTAGTAGTTCTTCAATAGTGATGTCGTCGGTTCGTGGGTATTTCGACGCGAAAGTGCGCTTGATCGCGCCATTGGGGTATTGTAACGGTGTTTCGTCCGAATCACATTTGGCGGCAGGCGTTCTTACAACTTGCTTAGAAGGTATCTCAGGAGATACCTCCCGCTTCCTTTTGCCAAGCCTTGCGAGACGCTCCAGTTCCATGGCTTTCCGATCCATACCCATGAAACCTGGAGGTTTGTCGACGGCGGCTGCTGTTTTGATCACACTCGTTGGCGGTGCGCTCGAAGCCGATGACTGTTGCACGTCATTATTTGCGCTTTCCTGCATCGATAAGGCAATCGCACGCCGGAGATCGTCGTCATCTTCGTCCTCAGTGTCAGATGTGAGGTCGATTGACTCGTGCTTATCGCCCGATGCGCTGTCGCGTGCAGCCCGAGGCGAATTCGCCTGCAAGGACATTGCCATCGCAAGCTTGAGATCTTCATCATCAGAATCCATGTGTCCAAGAGTCAAGATGTGGTTGTTATGGAATGTTGGTGATTGGGTAAACAAACAGATTCGTTGAGAAGCGGAAGCGATCCGGCATGGCAGGACCCTCGGGGCCTGAACGCGCTGTCGCGAAAGCATGTGACCAAGGCTTGGCAACCTACATGGGTTATCACGGCTTTGAGCTCAGCCTGCTCTGTTACACCAACGAAGATGCGCCTAAAACGATTTTATTCTCCCATATAGACTACTCATATCTTCTACAACAGTCGTTCACTTGGTTTTGCCGTCGACAGCCCCGCCCGTCCGCTGCACGTTGCGAAACACCACCAAGTATCCCAGATCAGCCAGGATCCAGGTTACCATCATCACCACTGATATCGGATTGACATAGTAGCCGTGTGCCTCTGGCCATACCCACCAGACATATCCGTAATTCACCGTCAATCCCGACACACTGCCGATAAACCGGCACGCCCAAATGCTATACGACGAGCCGCGACTGCTTCCTCTGACCACAAGCTGTGCCAATGACATGACGCTCAGCACAACCTGTGCGACCATGGCAGTCCAGTAACCGAGCTCGTCCTTGTCGATGCCCAGATTGCCCCGGTACGCTTTTCCAACTTTTGGGTTGACAGGGTGATCGACATCAAGCCACCAGGAGCTCACAGCATACAACGCGATGCACCACCATACCAACATGCCAGCAAAGATCTTGCCGATATTCCTGCCAACTGCTGGCGCATGTCTCCATTCGTTCGCGCCATACGTGACAGCCGCGTAGACAATGCCCATGTCTAAGAGTCCCCATATGGCGAAGAGGGCCTTCTCCCGGAGCTCATCGGCAACATATATCGCGAACACAATCTCCCACGCAAAGTCTGGACGTTGGTGTACCGGGTCAGTACTTGTCATATGCAATTCGTATGGAGACACATACTGAATGCGAGCGAGAAGAGAGGCATGGCGTATGTGCGGTCGCGAATGGACTGGCGTGCCATCAGGGCGTAGCAGATTGTGTACAAGACACCGCCGGTGCCCAGGAACACATCATTGGCGTCGAAGATAGAGGGATCGACGTGCGCGGGCAAGATGTCAAGGCGGCCCATAATTGCGAGTTGGTATCAGCGAAGAGATGAGTAGACGCAACATACGCAGTAGAAGGAAGTCTGACATGTTCCGTGAGGGTTGGGGCCTATGTCGGCACGCGCCTCAGTAGCGCTTATGGTTAGTTCGTAAGGGTGAGGTGTCATTCGGACCGCTTCCGGGCTCCCGCAAACTTGTATACGCAGGCCGTATATGTTTGTACTTTCAGCTCCAATGCGATGTTGTCACATGCAAGATGTTTGGGTGAATTGGTATATGACAGTGTGGTTTCTGACGCTGATTTTACTTGGTCTTTCGGCCTTGGCGATCTTTGACTATCCTCCGTGTAGCGTAGATACGAACATAATATGATCGCCTCTCTGAACCTCGTACTTGTCTTCGCCTTCCAGCTCCCAGTCTGCTTCGTTGATGAGGACCAGTATTCCAGGTCGTCTGAAGTTAATGTCAGCATGTCCTTGTTCTCTTGGGGCAGGAACATACACAGTATCGTCCAGCACGAAAAGTTCTTTCCGCGGATCCTTCATGACCTTGTCGCAAAGGTATCTGACAAGGTATGCAACATTCGCTGGCTCTCCAGACTCATCTTTGGCTGGTAGGGCAAGATCATACTTTTTCTGGTTGGCGAACAGGATCTCCAGGCCCCCGCTGTAGAAGATTAGAGAGGAACATCGCCATTTCGCACGACAACCGACCTACCTGAACTCTATCGTTATTGGGATCGTCTCATCTTTTGACATTTCGGCCTTGCTCGTCTGTAAGATGCTAGAGTTGTAAGAGATTCGGATGTTATCGAGATCGGTTGCGCCTGCTCTGCAGCCCTGAGCCAAATGCAGCTAAGCGAGGCTAGCGCCAAAGAAATCCTTACGGCGATGACTAGATGCGGTGCCTGCGCATACGCAACGCCTAGACCCAACAATGAACATATCTACTGAGTTCATCGCTGCAGGTGGCAATCGAAATCCCGCTGCCGCTGACTGGGATGAGGCCGGGTCGCAACTGCTAGCGTTCGGCGCAGACAACTGCATCGCACTCTGGGATCCTCAGGTGAGTCGCGGCTGGCCAATGACACAACCTTCACTCACCAAGATAGGACGAAAGTCTTCGTGGCGTGCAAGCAATTCTGAGTGGGCACACCAAAGCTGTGAACGCTGTCAAATTCTTTCCAACACAATTGCCCAATGTCTCCGTCCTGCTCAGTGGATCGGCGGATAATACAATTCGCTTATGGCGAGGCCGAAGAGGCGAATCTTTCGACTGTGTCAAGACGATTTCAGATCACACTCAGCCAGTCACCAGAATAGCTGTGCTGCCAGGCTCGGACGCTTGGGCAACCGGATCTTCAGACGGCACTGTCAAGATCTGGAAGCTTGTTCATGATGCAGACTTCGGGTCCGTCGATGTCGAGCTTGTACAGACCATCACACTATCACCAAGATACTTCCCTCTGAACCTCGCACTTGCGACTCTTGACGAAAAATCTACAGTGCTGGCAGTTGCGGGCACACGTAGCACGATTCAAGTCTTCGTATCGCAAGAAGGCCAATTCCAACTTTCGGCAACTCTTACCGGTCACGAAGGATGGATACGCGCTCTTGCATTCACTAGAGAAACGTCTGATCTGGATAGCGATTTATTGCTGGCATCCGCAAGCCAAGACAAGTACGTCCGTCTTTGGCGTCTCCATCGTGGGGATGAGCTTCCCGCTGCCAGTACTGCACTCAACGACCCAGCGTTAGGTGGATTGGGCAAGTCCCTGTCAAACAAAGCACACTGGATTAGCTCTGCTACATCCAAGTACTCCATCACATTTGAAGCATTGTTACTAGGACATGAAGATTGGATATACCAGGCCTCGTGGAGACATCGCGAGGGAAAGCTCCAATTACTCACCGCTTCGGAAGACAACTCACTCGCCATCTGGGAGTCAGATCCTAACTCCGGTGTGTGGGTTTGCATCACCAGATTAGGCGAGATAAGTGCGCAGAAGGGCTCGACGAGCGCTACTGGAAGTGCTGGAGGTTTCTGGATTGGTCTATGGTCGCCAGATGGCAACACTGTGGTTTCATTAGGACGAACTGGTAGCTGGAGAAAGTGGACCTACTCGGCCACGGAAGATATGTGGACGCAGCAAGTCGCCATCACAGGACATGTGCGCGAAGTCAAAGGCGTGAGCTGGTCAAGAGATGGGTCATACATGCTCTCCACTGGTTCCGATCAAACCAGTCGGCTCTACTCGCAATGGAAACGAGAAGGCGCACCAGCATCATGGCATGAGTTCTCGCGGCCCCAAATCCACGGCTACGACTTGAATTGCATCGACGCGGTCTCCAACACTCAATTCGTCTCGGGCGCAGACGAGAAGTTGCTACGTATTTTCGACGAACCTAGAGGTGTAGCGGACATGCTTCAAAATCTCTGCAGTATCAAGGCGTCTACTACTGCTGAGCTTCCGGATGCAGCCAACATTCCCGTCCTCGGTTTATCGAACAAAGCTATTCAAGCTGTGGGAGACGACGAGCCAGTCGAGAACGGCGACGAAGACGAACGTGAAGCCGTCGATCCTGCCTCTGTCATTCGCAAATCGACGCTGGACTTCAGTCACCCACCGTTCGAAGACCATCTGGCACGCCACCTACTATGGCCAGAGACAGAGAAGTTATACGGACACGGCTATGAGATCTCTGCTGTTGCAGTGAGCCGGGATGGAAGTCTCGTTGCAACGGCCTGCCGAGCTAGCTCTATCGACCACGCCGTCATACGGCTGTACGACACGAAAGAATGGCTAGAAGTCAAACCGGCACTCAAGGCGCATTCACTCACCGTCACAGCGTTGCAATTCTCACCAGACGACAAGCACCTTCTTAGCGTTGGACGAGACAGACAATGGGTCATCTGGGAGCGCAGCGAAGAGCAGTCATTATACACACTGAAGCACTCGAATCCAAAAGGCCACTCACGCATGATACTAGGTGCTGCCTGGACACCGCTCGAGCAACCTACATTCATGACTGCTGGTCGAGACAAGAGTGTCAAGATATGGCAGATCGCCGAGAGCGACGTGCAGCTCAAGGCTACCGTATCAGCAAACGCCGCTGTTACCGCTGTAGCTTGTAACGGCGTGCAATCAGGTGGAAAGATCATGTTTGCCTTTGGCACAGAGAACGGAGAGATAGGTATTGCGAGCGCATCACCAGATGCTTTGGATCAGGCACAAGTATCCATGGTCAAGGCAGACTTGGTCCCGGCGAAAACTATCAACCAGATCGTCTGGCGACCTGGAAGAGCAGATGGCGAGCCACAACAGATCGCCGCAGCAAGTGATGACACCACCTTGCGCGTCTTCAACGTTTCGGATGAGGTATTGCAGCACTAGCACAAGGCATCGAAAGGGTGATACATGGATGTCAACTGTTGAATAAACTTTACACTATTAGGTAGGTTTCGCTGGGGTATCTCGCCAAGAAAATTCACTTCCTTCAACCTCATCAATGAAAATAGTACTACATATCCACCTCCTCGCTTAAGCGTAACGGGGTCCACCAGCGATCTTCTCAGGAAGATCCGAGGCTGCCATGCTAGGTTGACCCTTTGGGTACTGTCCGGGCGCCATGCGCTGAACCGGCTGCGTCATCTGTGGGTGCTGCCCGAACTGCTGCCCAAACTGCTGCATCTGACCCGGTCCTTGTTGCATATACGGGGGCTGAAATGGGGGCTGGTTCGGATACCCTTGCTGGTTGGGCGGCATCTGATAGTACATGACCTGGCCCTGCTGCGGTTTCATGTGTGCCTGTCCTGGTGGCGGCACAACAGCACCATTACTGATCATGTTTTGCACGATTTCAGCAGCAAGCTTTTCGGCGTCCTTGCTGGTTGTGCGGCGGCGGTGGCGATGGCAGTCAACGCAAGCCCACACGAATAGCGCAAAGTGAATAACCAGGCCGAAGAACTGGCATACCACACCGGTCAGAGTGACGTTTGAGCGATGATCCTTTTCGGCCCAAAGTTTGTTGACGAAGGCGTCCTGCTCCTCACAGCTGTCAAACTGACTGGATCGGGAACAGTCTCGAGGAGTCTCGATGTAGCTCGTGTCCTGTTCCCATACCCATGTGTTGTTGGAAGCTAGGACATATTCTCCATCGCTGCTGTATGAGTAGCCCCAACCCCATGTATCGAATCCGTCTAGACCCCACCTCATCAAGTACCGGAGGGCTATAAGAGAGAACAAAGCCGTTACGATGAAGCCAAGCCATAGAAGAAGATCCATCGCTACGCGGACACCAGGATGTACAGGTCGCTTGCGCAGAAGGAATACGATGATGCAGAGCGCACACCAGACTATCGAAGCAGCCCAAGTAATCAGACTGGGCCATAGAGACCAGTAGCTTTCGTAGCTGATTGAGTAAGAGGAGTCCGGGTCGTATTCACTGTCCATTGTGGACATCAGCCAGCCAAAGCAACCGACTCCGATCAAGCCTGTTATGATGGCAGCGGCTTTGAGACCGAACTTAAACTTCCAGTATCGATCGGCAGCATTGAGCTTGTCGTTGTATGAAAGGCGTTCCTCGGTCTCGGTCGCGGCGCCCTGTGGAGCTGTCGTGTGCGGGATCGACGCCGGGGGTGCCATGGTGGGAGCACCCGGCGCAGGGCTGCTCGAGGGAGGCATTCTGGGCGAGTTCGCGTGCGCAGACGAGGTTGCGGTCGCGTTCGTCGCGTCGGACAATCTTGCTGCGGACTTTGGAGGGGGCGTGGGGACTGGAGACGGAGGCCCTCCTGAGATCGCGTCAGGCGCTTGCGGCACAGCTTGCGGCTGCGGCTGAGTAGAAGAAGACATTATTAAAGTATTAACTAAGTAAGAAGCGAGTGGATGCGCAGAGACATGCGCGTGGGATGGGGTCAGACAGAATCTTCACAAACACAAACGACCGCGAAGACGATCAGGCAACAGGAGAGACCTTCGCCTGGATGCGTCCGTCGTGCTGTTTGTGGCGCCATTGGGTGCCTGAGGCTAGTCGGCATTGGTGTTGGAAGTCACTTAATTTAGATGAACAGGAGCGGGAAAACGATGATGCGGGCCGGCTGAGCTCCAGTCATCTCAGTCATCAATGCACGGCTCACAACGACGCGCTTGTCAAAGCTTAACCCGGGCGTGCTCCTTTGTCATTTCGCAATCTCAGGAAAGTCCTTCTCAATCAAAAATGTGTTGGTTTAATATTAAGTACTTCATTACTACCTAGTTGGCTCACCGGCGCCAACGCGTCGCGGGATACCGCAGAAAACATTACATCGTAATAGAACCTGTGTCGACCAAATCCTGAAGCAATCAAACTCCATACTGGGCCCAGGCACGAACTGGAAGAAGGAATGACAAGTGCCGGTGCCCCATCTCAATCATCTCAGCCATCACAACTCTAGCTGTGGTAGGTCGCGCTTAGTACATTGGGTCACCGATAGCGGTGATGGAAGCAGTGCAAACACCGTCCTTGCAGTAACCAGCAGGGGTCAACCAGCCCCAGAGTTCTGGAATTCGTTAGCATTTGTCCTGGAATTGTCTCGTGGTACGTCAAACTTACCGACTTGCTCTCCGTTGGCGAAGATGGCACGGGCAATACCCGAAATGGTGGCGGAGCACGCCTTGTGGCCAGAGATCTGGTCGCAGGTAATGACGAAGGGAGCGGTGGCCGAAAGAGGAATGCTGGCAGAACCGTAGCAGCGGCCCTCGGCGCACCATGCAGAAACAGTGTTGTTCATGGAGTACTTGTCGCCGTCAACGAGCAGGTTCTCGAGAGAGCCTGCGACAGTGACGGTGCACTTGTGGTCGGTGTTGCAAGCTCCAGATACTAAAAGGATGTCGGTTAGCACAAAAAAAGATCAGGCGGGGATGAGGTTTGCTTACGGAGACCGACAGCAGCTCCGAGAACACCAGAGAGAACCTTGTCAATGACAGGCGGCATGGCGGGAAGGTTCTCAAGAGAGAGCACGCCGTGACCCTGGACTGGGGCAGAGAAGCTCGAAGGCATCGTCGGCTGGCCAGTTGAAGCGGCGGTTGGCGCAGCGGTAATGGTGGACACAGTGTTTGCCTTTGCAGCAGAACCCGATCCAGAACCAACGCTCACGTCCAGCAGAGCGCTGGAAGTAGCAACACCGACGTTGATGCCACCGAGCTTGAGGCCCAAGAGAGGAGAGGCATTTGCCGAAGCAATCAGAAGAGCGAGGGTGGTAGTAGTGAACTGCATAGTGAAATCCGAAGCTGAGAAGCGATTGATAGCACGGAAACACCGAAGAGTGTGATGGCCGAGATGACTGAGAGGAGCTGATAGAAGAGCTGGAGATGATTGAAGCTGATGATCCTGAGATGAAGGGATCTTGCCAGCTCTTTGTAGTCGTTCATGGTGGCTTGGTACAACGACGTCTTCTCAAATCTTCTGTTGTTGAACCCCTGACGTACGTCAACTCTGTGCTAATTGAGGGCAACCGGTTCGCACTCCGAAGCGCGCCTTCGATTTCGATGCCAGAACCCAACGCCTGACGATGTTCGCACTACGAAGTTTCAAATCGGCTGAGGCTTCCAGACCACCCGTTACAGATCCTCGATCTTCAGGCACGGATACTAACGTCGCTGATCTGCCGTTAAGCGAGTCCCTACGTCGGTGGTGTCCGACACGCAAGATCTGTATGTACCGCAAGCCAGATCTATCGCGTGGTCACTTAAGGTTTCGCACTAGCTGGCCGGAGTGGTCTCCGAGCGATGCGGAACTTAGGACTCAACCAATGGGATTGCACCCATGTATTACTACGCAAACCTACCCGCCTCCAAAAGCTACTTGGCAATGCCGAAATCGAAGCCCAACGCGCGCTGTAGGGTACCGCATTTGGCCAGACCACGTTTGACTAGTACTCTTTTGTCCAGACGGCACTCCCTTTTCGCTACCACTTACCTGGTCGCTGGTTGAGCTACAGACGCCTCGGCAACTTGCACCAACGCTCGACTAGCTCATGGCTATACAACAGCTAGATTGTAGTATACCCAAGTACATCGTGGCTAACGTCTTCCAGTCTCGATTCGGTGATGACGATGGAGTCAGGCTTCAACGCATTCAAATCATCACAGAGTCATTCGAGCTACTCAGAACTTCACTGCCTAATGCATCAACTTCACAAGATGGCGTTGTATCACGCTGTGTGATATGTTAGCTGCATCGTTCTCGTCTAACAAACAAGTAACCTCGGGAGGGTTGCAAAGTTACTGAGGTCTGGACTCCGTGTACCTAGATTTGATGAGTGATCTCACACATCGTGGTAACATATCGCGGTAAGGAGAGTGTCGACGAAGTCGAAGTTGTGAAGTTTAGAGAACATGACAAAGAAATTATGCTACGATTACTGCGTCAAACCAGCTCCGTCCTCATTATCTAGGTATACAGGTGACAAAGAAAATGTGCATTAAAGTATTGTACAAAGAAGAATAAAACATTACAATCCAGTCGTCACAGGCACAAGCGCCTCCAAACCATCCGTTCCGTCATCACAAACACCAAAATGGTCCGCAAGGGTCATACCAGGCTTACCATCGCGGAAACAAGCCGTGTTCTTCGTCGCATAATCCCTCAGCGCGGTCCAGTCCCGACATTGATGCATCTGGCCATCACCAGCCATGCCATCGCCGTGACCATACAGCGGAGTGTTATCCGCATGGCACATAATGTGTTGACGCAGGGCGTCGAAACAATGCAAAGCGTGATGCGAGGGGAAGGGCGGGAACTCTTGGCGCTTCAGAGCTAGATATGAGGCGCGAACGATACGCTAGAATGGGGGTGGTTAGAGAAGATGCATAGGTACCTGATGTTTACTGAACAACAGGAGTGACGTACGAGGCAGTGAAGCTGATGGTAGGCTTGGAGAAGATACATCCCTTTGCCAGGCATACCGGGTATGTCCATGGAACGAGGCCACTGGAAGATGTCAGTCACTGCTCAGTTCAATGATGGTGTCTTCGTTCCCGAAAACCTGGTTGGGGGTAACTCACGTGGTTCTCTGCTGCGAACTCATGGTCAACTGCGATATGACCATGCGCAGTGTTGATACTGTCCCACAGCGGGTCTGCTTCCGTCGCATTGGGCGCACCCCATGGCGTATTCCAATGAAAAGGGACATACGCGATAGGAAGAGACTCTACCCTAGCGAGGTCGTTGGGAACCTCAAGGGTGCTGGACTGGGCGAGGCTGGTCAGAGAATCTCCCGGGGTCGCCGTGGCGGCCACACCCGCAGTGCGCCATATGGCAATCGAGAAGCCCAATACACAGACGTTTGCGAAGGAAAGCACGACCAGTGCTATCGTCGGATAGTGTCGTCTGTGCGCCGAATCCGAACACGAGGCGTGATCCGGGGCCTGATCCGCCGAGGAGACGAGCTTGTACCGAGCGAACATGGTGTTGTCGAATGCGTGGAGGAACGATCGAGGAACATTGCTGAAACCTGCATATCAAATACTCACGATGGTCAGCGCTGCGCAGGATGCACGAGGCAAGTCCTAACGAAAGCAGCGTGCAGTTAAGGTTCACGACGATGCCTCAAGCTGGTTAGCGTAGTCCTTAAGCATGCCGCAATCGCGCGAGGAGTTCCTTCCGGCCTCGGTCCGTCACGACCGAAAGTCATCGCCTCACGATCTAGGTGGGTCTGCGAATCAACGCTTTTCCCCAGACTCGCACCAGGGGTCGGATCTAGACCGAGGCGCGGGAGATCTTCCGCATGTCGCTGCTGGGAAAATAGCCATGTGCTCGGGGTTTATGTGCGTCACTTTTCGTGCCCAACGGCGCTTCTGTGCCAGCCTTGCGCACGACTATCGAGCTGAACACCTTTGGGCCACTACCGGGTACCTAGCTAAGGGTGAGGGTGTAGACATGCATTTTTTTCTGAGGAGTTTCCTCCGTCCTCTCCATACCTGTGAATGCCATGTCTACATAACCTCGCGTGATCACCACCGGTAGAACTCATCATCACGGCGAACCATCAGTCTCTCTTTCGAGCATATCATCCTCACGAGTTCTCTCATTCGTGAGAGTATCTTTAGTTACTTCTTCCGAGTCCTTCGTTATACCACCGCCAAGATGGGTTACACATACATCAACGTTACTTCCTGCCTTGCCACTGGCATCGCGCTTACCGTCTTGACTGTCCTTTTCGTCGCTCTGCGAATAGGCGTAGCGATACAAAAGGCCGGCAAAAGCAGAGAGACGCGTCTCAGTAAGCATCTCGACGACCTCTTCTGCCTCCTCGCTCTCATCCCAACCATCGGCGTCTCCACTGTTCTCATCTATGGTAAGCCTCGAGCCAAGCAAAGCAAAGCCCTTCTTTTATCTGACTAGTTCTACAGGCGCTGCTAAGGGCATTATCGGCGGCCACAACGACCCTAGCAACATCGAAGGCTGGATCTACAGCACGACACCAGATTTAGTAATTTTGGAGAAGGTTAGTCACCCTGTTCTCGGCTGGTCTTTCCCACTCGACTAACATTCCGACAAGTGTGTGTACATGATTTTCATCATGCAGCCGCTGGCTATCGGCTTCACGAAACTCGCTTTCTTGTTCCTGTACCGTCGCATCTTCACGTGGCCTGGTTTCCAGTGGACCTCGCTCGTATTCATCGTCCTCACTGTGGCTTTCACCATCGCCTTCTTCTTTGGCTTCATCTTCGATTGCCGCTTGAACTTTGCTGCCAACTGGGGCTCTCTTGCTAGCATCGCGGAGAACTGTCCGTTTGGATTCGAGGCGACCATCACCTTCACGGTTCTTGATGCTGTGTTCGATCTGTGCATCTTGCTTCTGCCACTCCCATGGGTAAGTCAATCCAAACTCGATTCACTCTTGACAGACGGCTAATCATTGCGCGAACAGATCTGGCGTCTCCAAATGCCCACCGTCCGCAAAATCCAACTGTGCGGTGTCTTCCTACTCGGAGGTTTCGCCGTCGCCTCCGCCATTGTCCGCATGGTCATTTGCATCAAGCAGAACACACCGTCCGCCGCCCTCGACGAACAGTACATCATGGGCATGCCCACGTACGACATCATCGGCATAACCTCGCACGGTCTATTCTGGACCGTCGTCGAGACCAACGTCGCCCTCATCGCATGCTGCCTTCCCAAGATCCGATCCGTGCTCAGCTTGGCAGGCCTGGGAAGCATCATGATGTCCATGGGCTCCCTCCTCCAGAAGATGGGCTCCAGCATGGGTACTCAGAACTCCAAGAGCGCCAGCAATGGCAGCAACGGCAGCGGTCAGTTCAGCAAGCTCAGCAAGATCTCTGCTGCTACGACTGTTACGGTTGGTAGCACACCCCGAAGCCAGCTCGGTCACTACCGTTTGGAGAAGGAGCGCTCTGACAGCGATATCAACCTCGTTGACCTCAAGGGCTTGGGCAACAAGACTGACGCCGAGGCCGTCGCCTTGGAGAAGGGAATGTCGCCTGACTCTTACGAGGACTTGGAGGACAGGAAGTACCTCGGTAGGAACTCGCCCAGCAGGTTCTCCACGTAAATCCGCACAGTAACGATGCGATATGATGCCTCCTCGGAGGCTACGATCCCAGATATACCCCCCAATGATTTATTCCAGCGTAGTGTAGCGAAACGTAGCGTAACATCTTAATAATAATCAAATACCACTTTCAGCCTGATTCTTCTTCATTGCCAGTGTATCTCGTGACGAAACACATCGACGTTATGCACAGGTCGGCAGCCAGCCTCCACATCACGATTGTCAGTCACCGGAGAGAAAGAATCTGGAATAGAGCTCAGCACAGAGCATGATAAAGTATCGTGACTCCATTGCATGCATTTGATTGAGAGTTTGCGGAACTGAGTTTAACGCATCTGGTACTCATCTAGTGCCATGCCTTTAGCGATCTTCTTGATCAGTGCTTTCTTCAAGAATTGTTCTCGGGCAAGACTTCGAGTTTGCTGTAATCATGTTAGCCATATTCCAACTAGAACAAAGTCACAGGAGATGCACTTACCTTGACGAAGACTTCAGTACCGACGCGCCCCTTGTCCAAAGCTCTACCCAGTACAAACAATGCGTCTGCAATGCCCTTCTCTTCCGCAGCAAGAGTGTAGAGCTGCCCTCCGACGATTGTCGGCGCTACTAGGACATCATCCACATCTGGTGCCTTTCTTCTCCGCGCATCCTCCATGACTCGGTCCGCTTCGACCATGGCTCCCTTCAAGACTTGTTCGTTCGACGCAAGCGCCGCGTCAAGCTGCTGCAGTTCGCCCAGTTCCGACTGTAATCGGGAGTATGCAGTCTGTAAGGCGGCTTGTTGCGCGCGAAGTGGTGCTATCGCAGCCATGTTGGAGGATACTGTTTGTCGGATCTGCGATACCAGCGTTTGGCTCAAGGCCCGAAGAAGGGCGTCCTTCTCAGGGTTTGGTGGAACAGGTGGTACTGGTAATGGAACTTGGTTGCCAGACTGTGACGGTAATGTGACTTCCAGCGAGTCGTCGAGAAGATCGATTGGGGGCTTCGGAGCTGGTGGCGGTTGCTGAGGAGGTGCATGTGAGTATTGCTGGAAAGGAGCCTGTTGCTGTGGCGGGTAACCCTGTGGCGGCTGTCGATACTGCTGTTGCTGTGGTGGAGGTTGCCCATACTGCTGCTGGGGTGGTGGGCCCTGGTACTGCTGTGCTTGCTGGAAGTTAGGGGGCTGTGGGGGCCCTGATGTCGAGAACTGGGCAGCCGTTCGTTGACCATTTGGTGTCATGGGGCTCACAGGGCTGCCGTTCTGTAATGATTGTGGAGGGTAACCATGTGCGTGCATTTGCGGGTGTTGAGGACCTGCGCCTGAAGTCGCTGGACCTTGACCATAGCCACTGTGTCGATTGGGCGCGTATGGTGGACCTGAAGGCTGCGGTTGCCACCTCTGCGGCGCATCGTATCTACTGCCCTGAGATTGCTGATACGACTGCTGCGACGGCGGATGTTGTGGAGGGTGGGGTGGCAGAGGAGGGGGTTGCGAGTATCGGTCGTGTGGTGTCTGGGGCGTGGAGCGGTTTTGTTCATGTGGCTTCGGCGGCTTTGGAGGGGGCGCGGGTGCTTGGTTCGATGGGGCAGGAGAGTGTACTGAGCGGCGCCATTCGGCTGGCGGCGGGGGTACTGGAGGGGGTGCTTGCTGCTGCGGCGCATTGTATTGCGGCTGTTGTTGCCGCGATCGCACGGGTGGCTCTTTCGCAAAGACGCCTCTTAGTACGGCGAAGAAGTCGAACAGTGTAGATTTCTGCGCACACATCAGCTGTCGTCACTCAAGATATGGCATTTCGCTCAGCAGCTTTCAGAGCGCATGCGGTACTCACATCCCAGTACTTCGCCCATTGTGCCAGATACGGGTGGTATATCCTGCCATCGGTGCTCACGTGTTGTCCGGGTCTTAGCACCATGTCCTGCGCCGGCGTGACGTATACAATGGGTGGCTCTCGGGGGTACGACTGAGGCACCCATATCGCTACCGGGAAGCCGTATGTTGCGCCGCGAAACGTGACCGGCAGCGTGCCGCTGAGAAGCAAGAGAAGCGCTGAGGAGCCATTCTCGTACGTATATGGTTCCGTCTTTGGTGAAAGCGACGGGTCTGGACGTTGGTGTAGAGTTAGTAAAGCTGTCGTGAAGCTGCGACACATGTGACGTACAGTTGGACAGTGCCTCGGCCGCGTCGTGATATGTGCGATTTACGTCAGAGTATTCCTGAAGCCTGTTAGCGCATACGATGTTGATTGTCGCGAGGGGAATTACATTGACGAGAACGCTGTACAACCAGTTGAGGACTTTCTCGCTGGCCATGTTGTAACTGATCGATGATAGCACCAGGTTAGACGATGGCCAGTGGAGCACGGTCCTCACCTCTCCCAAGGTGAACCCCTCAACACCTTGGCAATGCCCAATGACTTGCCCCTCTATCTTTCACTTGGACAATCTGCGCATTCATCACATATGGAGGAATTCGTGAAGAGTACGTGTACATGCTCAATACATTTCATTATGTAGAGCTATTGCGTATAGTACATTGCTATGTAATCGTGTTTCTCGTAACCGCTACAACGAGCGTGGGCATTGTTGCCAAAGAATGTACGTCATTATATTATACAAGTTCCGCCGGGGTATCAAACAACTACTTCGCTCAATGCTGACTCCATTCAATCGTGTTGAGGTCGACACCCTCCTGCACAAGTTCCCACAACGGGCTCAACTCGCGGAGGAAGGTAACGCGCTCCTTGACAGCCTTCAAGACGTAGTCGATCTCTGAGTCTGTAGTGTAGCGTCCGATACCGAAGCGGATACTGCTGTGCGCACTCTCGTCACTGCTGCCGAGTGCTCGCAAGACGTAACTGGGTTCGAGCGACGCCGATGTGCAGGCGCTGCCCGAAGACAGGGCAATGTCTTTCAGCGCCATGAGAAGTGACTCACCCTCGACGTAGGCGAATGAAACATTGACACAGCCAGGGTAGTGTCGCTCCCTGTCGCCGTTGAGTGTGGTGTGCTCGAGCGATAGCAGGCCTTCGAGGAGACGGTTCGACAGCGCAGAGATGCGCTTGGTGTCATACTGGCCATTGTCAGCGTTGTCCGAACAGAAAATTGCTGTGACCAAAACAATGTGTGAGAAGGAACTCATAACCCCTGCACATGTGTCAACATGGCGCGTCGACGACCGAAGTCGCCTAACGCTCTGAAAGCCATGCATGTATAAAGCAAATAATCATAGTGTTCGTGATAGTAAGGGAAAAAAGTACGTACCTCCATCTCCTCTTTGCAGATCCGTGCGGCTTCGCCCATACCGATGGCAAGAGGAGGTGCTAGTGTGCCACTTCGCAGTCCTCGCTCTTGACCACCGCCGCTGATGATGGGGTCGAGCCTGACCCTAGGCCGTCTTCGTACGTAACATGCGCCGACGCCCTTGGGTCCGTAGATCTTGTGGCCTGATATCGACATCAAGTCGACATGCATCTTGTTGACGTCGATTGGGATCTTGCCGACAGCCTGCGCCGCGTCGGTGTGGAAGAAGATCTTCTTCGACCGGCAGAGCTTTCCGATCTCTTCAACGGGTTGTACAACACCAATCTCGTTGTTGACAGTCATGATACTGACAATGGCGGTATCGGGTCGCATGGCGGCCTCGAGCTGTGCCATGTCAATCAGGCCGTTGTTTCCTACTGGCAGGTAAGTGACGGAGAAGCCTTCATCTTGCAAATGTCTACAGCTGTCAAGCACACACTTGTGCTCGGTCTGTGCTGTGATGATGTGCTTCTTCTTGCCGCTACGCCCAAAGAAGCGAGCTACGCCCTTGATACTCATGTTGTTACTCTCGGTCGCACCGCTGGTGAAGATGATCTCCTTGGGGTCTGCACCAATGAGGTTGGCGATGTGCGCGCGGGCATCCTCTACGGCCTTGTCGGTCTCCCAACCGTACGCGTGGGTTCGCGAATGGGGGTTACCGTACATGCCGGTCATGTATGGCATCATCTTGTCTACTACTCGTGGGTCCATTGGGGTCGTAGCTTGCATGTCTAGGTAGATAGGCCGTGAGCCCTGATCCATGACGGTTGCTTGCTTGAGTATGCCTTAAATTGTCAGCTTCGCGGAAAGCGGGGTGGCGTGAATTCTGGCCTACCAGCAGTGGGACTCATCATGGCATCAGCGCTCATGCCTGTTGTTGGCATGGTCGCATCCTCTGCTCTTTCTCCCGTCTCCTTGAGGAAACTCCGCTGCTCCTTCTTGATGGCTGAGTCGAGATGGGAGGCGTTGGAGACGGTCGCCTGCGCGGGCTTGGACTCTGAGACATAGTGACGGCGGATGCTCGAGACACGAGAAAACGCAGATGAAGGGTATCGACGAGAGGCAATGCGCAGGGCCTGCCTCGCGACGGTGGGTGCAATATGAGACATGGTGAGAATTGGAGTGTTGGGGTTGGGAGAGCAAATTGCCTCCCGAGGTATTAGAAGCTATGAAGTTTTAGCGCACGGATCGGCTGACTAAATGGCCCCCCAGCGTTCACGGCCACATCGTCCACTCGTCATGCATGGTTCATTGTTTGCCTGCACGACAAGATAGTCGTTCACGCGACCGCGCGCTGTCCTCAGCTTTTGGCCCTGGGTTTCTCGTGCACTAGCCGCAGCGGATCATTCACTCTTGGCGTGAAGTAATTGCACTCGTGCTCGTTTTCGCTCTCGGCGCTCCGCGACATCCGGCAGCCGTGGGCAGTTGGCTGGCATAGCCACAGGCGACGTCATCGACGATTCTAGCAGCCACGCCGGCGCCCGCATCGTTCGGCTGCTTCCTGCTGGCTTACATCTGCAGTCTCCACGGCGCCTCCTGATCCCTACTGTGTATCAATTCCCAGCAGACTTACAGACTTACCCCCACCATGAGTTGGAAAGGCCTAACAAAGACCGTCACCCGGGTACGACTGGCGCCCTCACACGGCCTTCGGGCATCAACACGTGCTAACATCGTGGTTTAGGCGCCCCAAACCTTCAAGCAAAGATTCAACCTCGTACGTGTTCTGCGAAGGCCTCCAGAGGCTCTCCCCTCTACGCGCCTCCTTCCGAGTACGATTGGGCCTTGCTAACAGAGCGTGTAGGGCGAAATCACCAAGGACCCCATCTACACCGATGCCGAACGCCGCTTTCAGGAGCTGGAGAAGGAGACCAAGAAGCTCCATGACGAGTCCAAGAAGTATGCGCCTGTTGCGACACAGTCCTAGTTGCGACCCTGGCTAACATGCGACAGGTACTTCGAAGCCATAAATGGTGCGTAAACAACATGTAGCCCCACGCGATTCCGCCTAACCCACTTCGCAGGCATGCTCTCACATCAGATGGAGTTCTCGAAAGCGATCGCCGAAATCTACAAGCCCATCTCCGGCCGAATGTCAGATCCCGATTCATTCCTCGACGAAGGCAACACAGCAGGCATAGAAGCATGCGAACAGTACGAGACAGTGGTCAGGGAACTGCAAGAAACACTCAAGCCTGAACTTGAGATGATAGAGTCCCGGGTTATTCGCCCGGCGGACGAGCTGCTAGTCATCATCAAGGCCGTACGAAAGATCGCCGCCAAGCGCGACCACAAGCAACTCGACTATGACAGACATCGCGCCGCCTACAAGAAGCTCGAAGAGAAGAAGGACAAGACGCTAAAGGACGAGAAGGCCATGTACAAGGCCGAGAACGATGTGGAACAGGCGACGCAGGACTACAACTACTTTAATGATTTACTCAAGGACGAGCTACCGAAGCTGTTCACACTGGAGAGAGAGTTCATTAAACCTCTATTCCAGTCTTTCTACTACATGCAACTGAACGTCTTCTACACACTGCACGAGCGCATGCAACGGCTCGACATCGGCTACTTCGACCTTACTCTGGACATCGAGGCTGCTTACCAGAAGAAGCGTGGCGACACACAGGAGGAAGCGGAGAAGATCTCCATCGTGAAGTTCAAGACTACAGGCGGAGCTCGTGTTGCTGGCGCACGTCCAGGCCAGTCAAAATACGCAACGAAAGCTCTGGAAGCCAAGGCAGGCCGAAGTTCAATATCGGAAGAGACGGAAACACCTCCTCCACCGTACTCTGCCGGACCTTCTGGAGCTACTGGAGATATCAAATCCCCGACGCTATCAGCAGGTTCGTGGGGCTCTGCTGCCAAGGCCAAGGGCGCGCCTCCACCACCCAAGCCGAAGCCATCACGTCTCAGCGGTGTCCCGGCGACCGAAACCGTTACAGCTCTGTACGACTACGAGGCGCAAGCGGAAGGTGACCTGAGCTTCCTGACAGGCGACGTGATAGAAATCGTTTCAAGGACGCAGAACGATAATGAGTGGTGGATTGGAAAGGTACGGGGGAAGCAGGGACAATTCCCAGGTATGTTTACTCATTCGCGTCAAGAGGCAATCAACTAATCAGATTTCAGGGAACTACGTCAAACTGAATTAGGGATTCAGTCCCCCATCTCCCACCTTGCGGTTACGAGGCCACACATGTTGAAGCATGGTGTTGCCAGTGTTGCGTTTACAGCATCGTTCGGGGTTTACGTTAGACTTCCGTGCTAGATTTAAGCGATCAGCACATGTATTTGCATTGTTCAGACTAATCTTCAATCCTATTCTGGGTACCGTCCATTTCAGTTTGAGTATTTCCATGTCGCAAAGTTCCTGTTCGTATTTGGGGTTGCTAGCACACGATGCTCGAGAAGATTAGCGTGCAGTAGGCGGTGATCTTTCCGCCGCACCCCGCATGACGTGTGCCGGAGACATGGAGCAGTGGAACCCCTGCAACCTCGCGAACATCTTCAAGGTGTCTTAGAGTAATTCTTCCAGGCCGCGGACTTCTTCGAATCGAACAGCGACCAAACCCAAGTCCTTTTGTATGCTACATCCATCATGCCCTACGAATCAACAATCACCTTCACACTCGACACAATATGTCCCTGGTACATCCACCCACCCTTCGCGCCACACCACCCCCTTAGACCCATTCCTCACAATACCACAGGACATACCTAGCCTTCATCCGCCTCAACCAAGCCCTCGCCAACTACCGCACCACAAACCCCTCTTCCCCAGCAACATTCACCCTCAAACTAGCACCCTACCAACTCTACCCCGACGCCACCCAAGACGGCGTCGACAAATATGAATGGTACAAGAACGAAAAGTACGACGGCAGCGAAGCTCGGATGGAGAAGTATATGAATGTGATGCGTGATTTGGGTAAACAAGAGGGGATTGAGTTTGATTTTGGGGGTGGGGTGGTGGCGAATACGTTACATGCGCATCGTGTGTTGCAGTGGTTGCAGAATAATAAAGAGGGTGGTACTGCACTGGAAGCAGTGAAGTCTCTGTATATGCAGTACTTTGAGCAGCGCGCTCATCCTTCCAGTCATGAGACGTTGGTTAAAGCGTGCATGGCAGCTGGGCTGAGTGAAGAGGAAGCGAAGAGGGTGGTAGAAGATAATGATGAGGAGTTGAGGCAGACGAAAGCGGCGATAAGGGAACAAGCTGGGAATGGGGTGGATAGTGTGCCGTATGTTGTTTTTGAGGGTAGGAAGAGGGACTTTACGTGCGTGGGGGCGAAGAGTGTGGCGGAGTATGAGAAGGTGCTTGGGCAGGTTGTTAAGGAGTGTGCGTGAGGGTGTGTGGTTGGGTGGTGGATGGTTTGTTGCTGAAGGAATCGAGCTCTTGTGTTGACAATACTTCTCTTTTCAAGAGGACCTAATTAGATAGGTGCATATAGAATTTAGAAGTTGTAAGTCGCTCGTTCGCGTTGCCACCGCAGTACTATAGGACGAAGATGAAGAACCAAATTCGCATCGCACTCAGATGTGAGTCAGAAGGGAATCTGAAGGAATCGAACTGATGTGATTCTTCCTGTTTCTCGGAACTCGTCCAATTTCTCTACGACATAGTGATGGAACGTGATTGCCATTGTTCAACAGCCTCGGGCATGAATGCAATCACGAGGGAGTGAGGTGCGTCACTCATCACTATCGCAATCAGTTAGAAGGTACCCGATACATCGGATCAGCGTATCCCGTATCCGATTCGACCTGTTTGGCGCTATACTACCTAGTTAGCTCTGCTAGGCTCGAACGAGATAGTTATGCGAATATGTGGAGACTTGTTTCCGAAGACAGCCTTGCTAGATTCTACCCAATGTATCGCGGAATTCATCCCGGTGTTCTATATCCGTAACTCGAAGCGCTTTTGGGTTTCCTGGAAACACATCTGGTCTCTTACCGATTTTGCACTTTAGGTTACGCAGACTTCCGAGAAATGAACTCAAGGGTCTCTATCTGATGATCGGTATCTTCGGATCACATATCGGACAACAGTGTACATTTTCAAAGAAGCTAGATATGGATTATGGCACCCCATCTATCCAGGTATTTGGGTTACCTACGCTACTCTCGAGGTCGCTCCACATTCCAACCTACCATACTAACATCAAGATTATAGTAGTCACTCCGCGGACACTGGCGCCGCGTTTCCAGGATGTAATGCTTCTCGCATCCAATTTTGTCGAATGAGAATCTAGGTAGTAACGGATACAGCCATCGTTTGCACCCTAGCGGCTATAGCGGGCGATCCCGTCTATACGACTGTATACCCGCGGAATCAATGCCGATGGGGAGTGTACCAAACAGATCAGTAGACTGATGGGCTGTACTGAGCTTCCTGACTTGGCTTGAAAAGCTTGTGTTGCTTGTAAAGTGCTTGTTGCTTCCTATATAAGAGCATTGTCTACATGGGCTTGACTGACGGAAGCAAACACGTAAAAAGCATTAAGAAGAGTGAACAACCACGTGCTTTGCAGGATACCTGAGTGGTACATTAGAACGGCTGGCGATCTTGGATTAGTAGGTGGCCTTGCAGGTTGAAGTATGTCACTAGATGTAGATCTCCCTGCCCATTACTACGTCAAGTACACTCTGACGAGTCGAACCTTTCGTACCTTCCATCTCAGGCTTCGTCGACACACGTCTTTTGTAAAGGGCACTGCTCATTGGACCCGCGAGGCTGACGGCGTGACATGTCCACTTGATCTCTAGACGGAGAAGCACACTCCGTGTAGATCACGTATGCTGCATTTTATGGGGAAAGTGGTATTCACGGGAAAGAAAGACGTAGGTGGCATGATATGACATGGAAAGTTCGGATCGATCGACGATTTCGAGCATTGCTGGCTTCACGGCCAGCTATAAGAGGAGGTGCTCGACCGCGAATTGATGAAGCATCTCACAGCAACATTGCATCACTCTCCAATACAATCACACTATCAAGTATCTCAGTTACGACAAATCAACACACGAAAATCGCCATCATGCAGTATGTTGTCTACATGAGGCCCATAATGCACAGATCGCTTACTTGAACCCAGGTTCTCAGTAAACTCCCTTGCTATGATACTCGCAACCGCCATCACGACCACAGTGGCTGCGCCCACCAACAACCTCGCCGTAAGTACCTCTCCTAAGAAGAAAGCGACAGCCCTGTATAGTCACCCATCTAACCCTCCCCCCAGCTCCGCCAAGACGACGGCGTAACCCGCTGCAAAGTCGAAGCCGAAGCCTCGCACTCCTACGGCGGCGGCGGTCCCGGCCAAGTCCCTATCGACAGCACCAGCGGAGCAATCTACTGCTACGACGTCAACAACAACAGAGTCTTCTACAACACCGACGCCAACGTGAACAACTTCAATGGCGCTACCAACACCGTGTCGGGAGCAGACTGCCATACCCAGGGCGATGTCACGTTTCACACTGCGTATAACACCGCCAGTAACCACTTCGAGATTTGCACTATTACGTACAATGGGGCGGATACTGAGGGTGTAGTTACTAGTGACATTGATTCTGGGACGGTGAGCGTGTCGACTTCTTACTGTAGTATCTATATTCCTTGCTAGGTGGTGGTGGGTATGCTCGCTGGGAAACTCGTAGCGTATCAGTCCGTAGCAAAGATGAGATGATGGCACTAAAGTCACCGTCAGACGAGAAATGAATTATCGAGTAATCACTGGTGCCACGGCTCAACCGTATTGACTGTCTTTATTGAAGTAATCGGCTTCAACACGCCCGATCGTTAAAGAGAGATTGGGAGCACAGTTTCTCTGGCTAGGAATGAGAAGAGCCACTTGGCCGCTCTTTCAACTGGTCTTTTCACACCACTAAGAAAACGGCCTCCGTACTCGTAAACAAGTGCAAACAAAGCGACCAGTAAGGAAAATGACTGATCTAACTCCCCAATCCCCTGCGGCGCACACGGAACGAATGAGCACTTACTCAGCCCTACACCATTGTCCTTGAAAGCAGCCCAAATTACAGTATAAAGATACAACGGAAGCAGCAACCTGTAACCAACCTGCACTGTGTTATTAAGCTTGTTCACAGAAGCTATCCCTTGACCAAATGATTGATATATGCTTGTTGCGGACGTCAATGTGAGCGTGAAATACAGGAACGGGACAATTCCGGCCTCCGCCCCGACGTTGTGCAAGTATGGCATGATCAGGGAGTTTGTCAGAACAGGGAGTTTGTCAGAACAGGGAGTACTAGGCCAATGGCGATGCACAACTGGCGCCGCTCGATATTCTTCCTGGTGTCGGTGTCCTTGTCTATCGCCTTCCAGTGACAAATTGCGACTTGGAAACATGCATGGGCAATGCCAACTCGTATCACCGCTAAAGACGCCCGAAAACACTGCAGCTGGGCATCGTCCATTTCCTGAAGAGTCTTATGTCCAGCAGAAGATGAGGACTGACGTAGGAGATCAATAGTTGCCCAATTCATGTATAGCGCATAGCTCATAAAATGCAGATTGTGCGTGTGATCGTTCCATAAGATAGGATACCAGGACGTGATGAGAAGGATGACCCATGCTGCCCAAGATCCACGGCCATAGAATCCGTTGATTTGGGAGTAGTCGGGGGAGGATTCGGACATTTCGACAGATGCGTTGCGGTATTGCTGTGATGTCGGCAGAAAAGATGAAAACAAAGGTTTACTATCGGTTTCGGACTCTCGTGGAGATGATTGAGACGGTGGCTTCGATTGCTGTGGTTTGATGTGGTTTGATGTGGTTGTAAACGAGTTCAAGGACGAGCGCGAAGTAAGTTTAGGCTGCAGTCTGAGCATAAGCGAGTGATAGCAAGGCTGGTTGTCGAGATGCGGCAGGTGCAACCGTACGTGAGCTACCACTCTTTCAAGCTGTTTCGTAAAGCTCTGGACAGCGTAAATGTAGACAGTGCACAAGTAACAAAAATTGAAGTAGGCGGTAATTAAGAGTAAACAAAAAACATTCTAGCGACGGTTCAGCCTGATGCAGACATGCACTATCGACGTGTGTGGCTTGCGCTCAGCCACATTCGCCAAAGTGTGGGGGCTGAGTGACCTGCACCTTCCCCTGGCGCGACTTCAACCAAGAACAGAGTGCACCTTTGACTCAAACTGGAACCTGGTCTTAGCTTGAACTGGAGTTTGTGATAGTATCTTCTCATACGATACGATGCCAGGTGATAGGCCAAGCCGGCCAGAGTGAATAGAGCCAACGGGTGTAAGTAATCCCGTGCCAGCGGCCAAGGCTGTGTCTGCTTCTTATCGATAGCTGCGCACAGCTAAAAAGAGGCCTCTTACACCCTCTCTAGCAGCAGCAGCAGCAGGCTATAATAAAGTATAAAAGGGCTATAGAAAGGAATTTAAGGTGCGGGCTGTTGCTTCGCGAAAATTACAAGCCTTGCAGGGCCGCTTCGCAGGAGTTAGAAACTGCATATTGTATTGTTAGATTGCGATAGCTTTGATGATGACCGCTTTATGGAGGGGGGTAAAACTATCCAAAGAGAATTTGGACCAACCTCATTGCGAATAAGGTTTGCAGACAGAGGACCTACTGAGCTAGCGGCCACCATGAAGCTGAGCTAGGAGGATACGTTTACAAGAGCGTGGAATAGCCACCACCGAACCGACAACTGGCAGCAAGAAACTTCTGGATAACTGTGGATGAAACGTTCGTATATTTCCTGCGTTACTTCGCAACTCGTTGCCAAATTGTCCACACACCTTGAGCTGCTTTTCTGACAATGCGAAAAATCTCATACCCAAACTCATACAAGAAAAAGTACAAAGCAACTACCAAAGCAAAGGCCTGGTCCCATTCCCCAATACCCTGCGGTGCACAAGGAACGAAGTAACACCGTGCGGGCAAGTCAGCCAGGTAGAGCATCTGCGGAGGTACCACCGTAACACTAGCATGAAAAAAGGACGCAACAGTAACGAAGAAAACTGGAAACATCGATCCAACGCACAAGATCATGGAGCGACGTCGATCCTTCAATTTCGCATGAGCAATGGGCTCATGCTGGCGTAGCCGATTAACAGTGAATAACACTTGCTGCGCAACGGCCTGGTATACTCCAAGCTGTATCACCGCAATGGAAGCAGCAATATTGTCAAACCGTGCGCGGTCTTGGTCCGAGAGATCGTGCTGGTCTTGCCAAAGGGCTGGAATAACGTGTCGTATGAAGTCGATTGCAGCCCAGTCCGTATATAGTGCGTAACCGATAATGTGGAGGTTGTGCGTGTAGTCGTCTCGGAGGAGATGTATCCACGATGCAAACATGGTGATGATCCACGCGGCCCAGGCGCCAGGGCCGTAGAAGCCGCTGACTTGCATCGACCCGGGCGACAGTTCGAATTGATTTAGTGGTGCCATGTCATGTCGTCCAGAGAAGGATGATAAATTAGGAGATTGCTATCGAGCCCGGATGTTGGTATAAATGGCTTTGATTGTGGCTTTGAAAGTTTTGATGTGGCTGTAGACGACAACAACAGGGCTGAGGGGATGTGACAGGTGGTTATCAACAGCAGAGAAGTAACAAGAAAGAGTACCGGAAGTGTCGGCACAACAGCAAGTATATCCTCAGGCGGCAGTCCAGCCTGAAGGGGAAGCGCACGACGTACGTCTGTGGCGTGCGCTCAGCCACACTTGCCAAAAGTGGGGCCTGAGTGAACTAGACCGGCCTGGACCAGCCACTACCAGACCAACAGCCAGCAGCAAGAAACCGTCTGGATAAAGATAGATGGATTGTACGCGTTGGAAAAAAGAACGACAAGGCAGCCATCTTCACATCCCTGTCTGTTACGGCCTAAGTCCCTCCGGCGACCCCTCCTCCCTATCCCCTTCTCTTCCCCCTCCCCCTCTCCTCCTCATCCTAAACCACCCCCCAACACCCCCTCTCCCCCTCCCTTCACCTTCCAACTCCCCGTCCCTCTCCCCCATCCCCACAACAACCAACTGCTCCCCCTTCCTCTTAACAATCCACTCAACCGTCATATCCCTCTTCTGCGGCCCCTCCTGCGGCCTCCCCTGGAACAACCCATCCGCCGGCGGAGAATGGTATCCTAGTACAAACAGCACAAGCGGCTCGCACAGATCCGTGATGAGTTTGATGCGCAGCAGAACGGCGAAGTAGATCAAGATGAAGATGTTGATGAGGAGTGTGAGGGCGAGGACAACGAGGAGCGCTTTTTGGTAGCTCTTTTCGCCGCCGGACATGTACTGTGCTACACGGACGGAAGCGTTGAAATACTGCATTTGGGGGGTGTTGAAGTCGGAGGCGGAGGTGGGGGAGAAGGGTTGGAAGGGGAAGTTTTGGGTTAGGTCGAGGACGGTGCATGTTGTCATACTCAGTAATGCTTCCGCGGGGCTTGGTAGTGTTCTGTTGAGTTTGGGTTCTGTGAGTTGGAGTTGGGTGAATATACGGGCTGTTGAGGCGTCGCCGTCGAAGACTCCGTTGTTTAGACTCAGAGAGTTGAGGAGATTAAAACCTAGGTCGCGCCAGCCTACGAGGGCGGCTCTGTCGTCGGTGGATCGGAGGGGTTGGATGGCGGAGTCATCGCTGTGCTTTCCGTTTGCGTCGTCGCAGACTGCTTCGAGGCTTTGGCCGCCGGATGAGGCGTTGTAGCGTGTAGTGCAGGAAGTTGTGATGCCGGCCTTCATAGAGCAGAGGAAGTAGTCTTTGGTTGTGTTGTCGGGTGCTTTGCCGAGCAGGTAGACTTCTGGTCGGTCGCCGAGCTCGTACGGTACTTGAGTGTGATTTGCGATCTAGCCAGTTAGTTCATCATCTTCTAACAAGGACAGACCCACTTACCGTGTTTCCTGCTTTCGGGTACTTGAGAAAGACTGTGTGACGTTAGTAACTATCATCCATGCAGAGGATCGAACTTACTTGGTCTAGCACGCGAGTGATCTTCCGTCTCGTCCTTCCATCCAAACACATCATCAAGCACCGTTTTATTGTTTGTGTTGGTACCTTCTGGAAATCCTAGGATGGGCCACCAGTTGACTGACTTCGAGCCTTCTTCCATAGGAATTGCATTGGGCCAATTGGTATATATGAGTGGAGCAAGCTCTTCCTCTTTGGCATTGACACAAAGTGCGTTGAGTGCGAAGCTGGCGACTGAAGCGTGGATAGAGTACGAGCCACCGTCATGGAGATCCTAGGATCATTAGTATGGGTTGAATGTGGCATGAATAATCTACCTACTTCTGGCTGCAGTAAGTCATTCTGGACATTGCGAGCTGCTGCCGGTATCCCTCGATGAGGGACAGCTATAGTGATGTTGTTGACTATACCAGATTAGCGACGTAAGATCAGAGGATCTTCGGCTACGGACTTATCCTGCCTGCCTTCTCAGACTCAGCTGCGACATCATGATCATCAAGCCACGCGGTAGTAACAGTGACATTGTTATCTAGCGACGCACTGATCGGCTTTCGTTCCAGAAGGCGCTCAGACATCCAAGCAGGATTTGTTGCAGCTGCTTGATCGTCCCATGCGGACATGTATTTGATAAAGTTGCGGCCACAGAGCGAAGACCACTTCATGGCAAGACATGTGCTACCGCCCCATTGTGTGTCGCCGACGTCAGGCCAGGCAGTGAGACAAGTCTTATCAGCTTTCAAGGTGCTGGA